CTTGTGGCCAGTCTAACATGTGAAGTAGAAACTATGTTGGTAGTACAAAATGTGGATTTAGGAGAGAGGGGCCAGAGGCAAGATGCACTCACTTGTGAACAGCCATGTGACCTGGAGTTGTTGCTGATACATAAAGTAAATGACAAATGGCAAGTGAACTCGAGACCCAACCACAAGGGTAAACTCAACATGAAACATGACAGAGGAGCAAAGCCTCTTGCCTGAGAGCGCTGGTTCGGGTGCCGCAGAGAGAAGTGAGATTATAATCTGAAGTTGAAGTGATGTTTAAGATCTCAACTCTGACTGAGTGGTGGAAAAAGCCCTGGGGACATCTCTGCAGGGTAGTGAATCATTCAAATTTCCCATTCTCTTTCTTGGAATTTGGAAAACTTAGTTTGAGAGCCAAGCACGGAGTCAGTCCACACCATTCACCAAGTAACGTTTCCATGAAGTATTCTTTGTAGGGCCCTCAAAGTCCCTACCTGTAAACATAGAATAAGTACTGTCTTTATTTATTTAATGTTTGCAAGATTGGGCTCTCAGGAAGAAAAATGCTCTGCAAATTCCACACATTCTCGAACAATAGGAAAAGTGATTTGAAGAATGACAAAATCACCACTCCCAAATTCTACACTACAGTTTTAGGAGAAATTAGATCTGCCATACTCAAGAATTCAAGTCATTTAGAGGCAACTGCTGCTGTAGGTCAGTCTCACACAGCTGGTCACAGCCTCCTGGGACAAGTTCTGAGCCATCATACTAAAGTGGAGGCTCTCCTTTATGTTTGTGACTCCATATGATTCCAACCAGGGCTCCAACCCCTCCCTACTTTCTGATTCATCCACGTAAGCAAGTAAGAACACCAGGTGAGCATACATATTTATTTACATAAGCTGCAAGGCTGCGCAAACAAACCCTCACCTGGGTAAAGGGCAGTATATCAGTGGCTCTTCTCACCATTTTTAATGGGCTTTACACATCTAAAATCTCTTCCTTAGTCTTTTAAAAGTCCTTATCCCTGTTCTCTTCCCACCAGTGTTTTTCCTCCTGTACAACAGAAAAGGTCCCTCTCATTTAACTCTTGGTGGTGGTGGTTTAGTCGCTAAATTGCGTCTGACTCCGGCAACCCCATGGACTGTTAGCCTGCTAGGCTCCTCTGTCATGGAATTCTCCAGGAAAGAATACTGGAGTGGGTTGCCATTTCTTTCTCCAGGGGATCTTCCCAAGCCAGGAATTGAAGCCTGGTCTCCTGCACTGCAGGCAAATTCTTTACCGACTGGGCTATGAGAGAAGCCCTATTTAACTCATATCCTTTTTATTACTAAGTATATAAGTTCTAAAATAATGTGTGTAGGTTTTGAAATAGCGAATGTCAAAATTTCCGTGTGTTCACAAATTGTTAATTAGCTAAGAATTTCTATTATTTCCAGTAAGGGGTTGAAATGGGTTCTTCTTTGTGAATATATTTTTCTTTCACTTCCTTGGGCTCCACTTTAGATCTGTTAGGTTACGTTACATTGCTTTTCAGGCCACAGCTTTTAGCCTTATGGTTTTGCAGAGATTAGAGAAAAATGGACTCAACGATTGGCTAGAAATGGAATTTCAGTAAGGGAGAAAAAGTTGCTTACTATTTAGCAAGTCAACAAAGATATGTTCTATGTTCTCATTATACACTTTTAAAATGCAATGTTAGCTTAAGAACAAATAAGCCAAGGGGAAAAAACAAACAAACAGAAAACGCTACACATTAAGAGCCATTACTTCTCCTTCCTGAGGACACTGTTTCTCAGGGATCAGTCAGTTCAATCGCTCAGTCATGTCTGACTGTTTGCAACTCCATGGACAGCAGCAAGTCAGGCTTTCCTGTCCATCACCAACTCCTGGAGCTTGCTCAAATTCACGTCCATAGAATCGGTGATGCCATCCAGCCATCTCGTCCTCTGTTGTCCCCTTCTCCTCCCGCCTTCAATCTTTCCCAGCATCAGGGTCTTTTCCAATTAATCAGTTCTCAGTGACAGTTACTAGTCAATTTTGACTTCTTATAAATGCTTGGAACATCAGGAGGGCAAAGAAAACTGAGTTACTTCCAACAATTCACTACAAATAACTGACCTGACCACATTTCAATATAACTGAAGGTCACTGATTATTTTTCCATTTCCTTTGTTCTAGTTTTCAAATTCTGAATGATTGGTCTTGACCTTTAGCTTGCCATGTTCTGTGTCAGAGCCAAGAACAATTCCCAGGTATTATTTACTCAGCTAACTTCATCACTAAAGCTGCCAAAGAGGATCCAGGATGGAACTAACATAGGGGTTGCAGGTCTGTACAAAGGATAAAATTAAATATTGCACAGAAATGACCTCATGTGTTTTCACAGCCTCCAAGTAAGTAGATAAAAACTGTATTATTACCACTTGATAGATACGGAAACTAAAGGGATAAGGAAACAAATAAAGACATCCGACATTTACTGAGAATCTGTAATAGGAGAGGCACAGTGTTGAGTTCTGGAACATACACATGAATAAGCTGAAGTCAACACCCTCCAAGTAGTCACAATCTAGTGGACATGGCTGACTGTGAAAAAACAACAATAATACAGACACAGAATACGATGGGAGGATGACGTCTGATAGCTGGAAGGTTTTGGAAGGATTTTGTGGTGATGAAATCTGAGCTGAGACTTAATGGTTAGGGAGTATTCTACAGACAAAGATGGTGGGACAGCAGAGGGGCCAGTTAAGATCAAAGGCATAGAAAGGATATAACATGAGACTCAGTTATCTCATAGGACTTGAGTTCAGGGCAGGGGCAGAAGGGAGATAATGTGTTCAGAGGGTTTGTAGATATCCTTGAATGCTAATTCTGGTAGCAACATAGAGAAAAGTTAGGGTGGCAAGGAAATAATTTAGGCCGCCACTGTGACGGTCCAGGAAAGAAGTAATGGAGGCTTGAACTGAGCAGAAGTAGCACTATAAAGAAAAGTAGTGATAGCAAAAGTAGACTCTACATAATTAGCAAGTGATTGGACACAGATTGTGAAGGAGGACGATGAGTTGAAGATGATTCTGACAGATTAATCTGAGTCACTGAACACATTACATTTGAGTTTACCCTTGGACTAGACAGAAGGGCATTTCTATTAGGGAGGTCTAGAGATCAGGATGGGCTTCCCTGGTGGTTCGGATGGTAAAGAATCTGCCTGCAATGTGGGAGACCTGGGTTCGATCCATGGGCTGGGAAGATGCCCTGGAGGGCATGGCAACCCACTCCAATATTCTTGCCTGAAGGATCCCCACGGACAGAGGAGCCTGCGGGCTACAGTCCATGGGTTCGCAAAGAATCAGACACGACTGACTAAACACAGACATACACAGATCAGGACAGCTAGTGAGTTACAAATCAACCACAGCGATATGATGGCTGAATTCACAAGAGGGTAAGAAATCACCAAGGAACAGAGAACAAAGAGAAAACCAACAGAGTTTTATAGAATACAAAATAGAGTACAGAAATCCTTAAGATGCAGGAAACACCTGCATTTTAAGAGAGATGGACAGTGAATGCGTTAGAGTCATGGGTGTCACCTGAACAGACGGTCTGAGAGGGGAGCAGATGATGCAAGGGAGAGAAATCAAGGAGGAAGGGCTGAGCTGCTGAGGGGAGGACTAACTGATTTCTTGTGGTCACACAGGTCATGCCCTCCCTCCTAAACTCCGCACCTACCTACTGATTATCACACAAGAAAAACAATGGGGTTTTTCAAGAGGAACTTTCTCTTCTCATTTTGCCAATGGTTAACCTGGGGCTTGGTCATCAAAATAAATTGCAAGTTCTAATCTTCATTAAACTTTTTTTCGCAGCTCACACTAGTTTCCTGACGTTGAGCTTTTCAGATGACTATTATTAATCAAGTACCAGGCCTCCCGTGCCCTCCTTCACTCTGGTTACACGTTAAGGCTCCCGAGTCACAGAGGCTGGTTGGAATCTAACTAAGCAGCCTGGCGAGACTTGTAACCTAATTTCTCTGAACTCGGTTTCCTGGGGGCGGTGGTACTTACCTAGTCAAGCTGAGAAGAGTGCATGAGAGAATGCAAGTAAAAACTCTCAGCACATTGCCGTCAAAGGCTCAATTCATTTTTGCTCTTAACGGTATTGAAATTTCCCTGGAGAAGAGGCCTGGTCGCCTGCATTGCAGGCAGATTCTTGACCATCTGAGACACCAGGGAAGCCCCGAGAGAGACTATCATTCCCTAAGGCGTGCAGCACTGACCTGAGGCCGTGGGAGCCTCATTCCCGCCTGCCCGCAGCGAGACGTATTCGCAGGAAGATGGATAAAGAGCTGACGGGTTTCCCCCTGGACTCTGCAGACCACGGAGGGGGCCACTGGCTGCCTGGCGCCGGGGCAAGCGGGAGAGCAGGAACCACTCCAGCCCCTCGGAGGACCACACGTCCCAGGGTGCAGCGCGCCCACCAAGGGTGGCAATTTGGCCCGGGTGGGGTCGGACTGCGAGCGAGCCGGGGAGGAAGCGGTGCACGCTGGGACCGGTAGTTTTCGGGTCTCAAGTGCACCGGTCGGAGGACGGCCGAGCGGAGAGGTCCCTCCCCAGTCCCGCCTTTTGTCCACGTCTCACTTCTGCCGACCAACGTTCTCTCCTGTCCCCGGGAGCCAGACCTTCTCCGATCCAGTCCCCATTGGTCCTGAGGCGCAGCGTGCCCGGGCTCTACCCGGAAGTAGCCTTTGGGAAGGCGGTTTCCTAGACTACGACACCGGAAAGCTGGGGGAGGTGCTCCGGGCTGCTGAGGGCTGAGGGCGGTGGCAGCGCTGGCGCTGGGGACCGGCTTGGTGCCTTCGGGAAACTGCTCGGCGACGGCGGCCGTTCGCGTCCCTCCGCATCCCGCCCTCAGCACGGCTCGCAGCCCCTTCGCCGCCGGCGTCCGGCAATGTGTCCCACCGGCAGGGCGTAGCAGCTGCGCGTGCGCGGAACCGCGGGGCCATGAGCGAAGCCGGCGGCGGCCGGGGCTCTGGGTTCTCGGTCCCCCAGCGAGCGCCATGGAGCCTGGTGGCGGCGACGGCCGCGCTGTGCCTGGTGTCGGCCACGTCCGTGTGGACGGCGGGGGCCGCGCCCATGAGTCGCGAGGAGAAGCAGAAGCTTGGGTAAGGGTGCTTGACAGCCTGGGGGTGGGTTGCCTCGTGAGGCTGACCACGGGCAAGGGTGCTTGTCATTGCGACCCGGGCGCGCAGTGGCCTCTCCTGTCGCGATTGGGGACGGCTGTTTCCTCGAGAGGACCCTGGCGGGGTGGACAGGGTGCGGGAAGACGGGGGCCCGCTGGCCCGCGAGGCGACCTCGGGGGACTGTCTCGGGCTGTCGCCCGGGCTGTCGGTGACCTGTGCAGGCTCCTCAAGACCAGCCGCGGTGTGTCAACGCAGCTGCCATGTCAGTGGCCCGGGAAGGGGGCTCCGGCCGGGGTCCCTGCGCGCCAGAGTTGTGCGGTCGCGCTTCATTCAGAGACGTGGTTAGATTTCTCGCAGCAGTGAGCTCCCAGGTGGGGAAAATGCGGCTGATCTCCCTGGTTAAGGAAATCATGTTTACACCTGTTACGGAATAGGGGGCATTCATTGGAACTTGAACTTTATGTATTTTACCATTTCCTTTGCATTGTTTTCTTGCACTGCATCTTCATAGTAGAACAATATTGGATGGTAGTGTTTCGTAGCCCAGATTAAGTATACCTATTCACTTTACTCAAAGTAGTTTTATCAGTCTTGAAAGGCATAAAATCATCAAGCTATATGTATAGCATTTCGTTTGGAGTCAGTATTCCTAATATAGGCCAGGTCCCACAGATGAATAAAGGAAAAGCCAGGAACCGGTAGAAAATGAGCAAAGGGCATGAAGAGTTAATTCACACAAGAGGAAATGCAAATGCTTAATAAACATGAAGCTACTCAACCTTATAAATGTGAGAGATGCAGATTAAAACAATGAAATAGCTGGGTTTTTTGTCATCAGGTTAGTAAATACAAAGCAGAGTGCGTGAATAGAGTACTGCCTGGATAGTTGAGGTGTGAGAAGAAACTTGGTGGGAGTGTAAATTGCTGTACTTTACTTACAGTCTCCTGAAATTTAAATTGTTTGCGTTCGCTGATTGATTAATCCCATCTCAGGGAATCTATCCTACAGAAATAAAAGCACTGTTAAAGTAGAGATAGGTGTAACAAGGATGTGCATTGTGAAATAGCAGAGCTGTCCCTCGGACCATTCATATTATGGAATAAAACTCAGTCGTCAAAGAGGAGTTAGGCCATCAGAAGGCTGCCCAGAATATATTCTGAAGACAAAAAAGGTGTAAGTTATAGAATAATATCTGTGATACTATCCCCCCCCGACCTTTTTTTAAAGAATAAATTGTCTAAGCTCAGAAAAACATGGAAAGATGATTACCTCCTGGAGTTATGATGGAGATGACGTGAAACCATCAGGATTTGTTTTAGATACAGACTTCCACTTTACTGAAATTGTTGCTAAATCTTGTATTAGTTTTTAATAAAAATAGCAGGAAAAGACACTTGTTGGAAAAAAAGTATCAGCTATCCAAACAAAATCGACTAATAAACTCTAATAAGGGTCCTAAATTTTCTCTTTATAGATTTAATGTAACACTGATAACTGCTTTACTGAATACTCAGTGTTCAGTGCCAGGTACTTTACATATACTGTCTCTGTAATCCTGTTTTTTAATGAGGTGAATGCAATCCCCGTATTGCAGATGAGGAAATTGAAACTCAAGGTTGATATGTTCAAAGTTACAGAGCTAAGTAAACCGTGGAGCCAGTATTTAAACCAAGCGCTCCCACATCTTCAGAGCCTGTGCTCCCCGCGCTTTACTGTAGTTAGTTCCATAAGCCTTGAAAGAGATGCTTCAAGTCTGTTAAGGAGAGTATTTTTATTTGACCATCGCTCCCGTCCACCCCCCCCTTTTTTTTAAAAATTTCTATTTTCTTTCTTTCTTTCTTTTGCCACACTGCGCAACATGGGGGATCTTAGTTTCTAGACCAAGGACCGAATTTGTGCCCCTTACAGTGGAGGTGCAGATATTTAACCACTGGACTGCCAGGGAAATTCCTTCCCTTTTTTATTAAAAATTTTTTGTTAAGAAAAGTCATTTGAATAACTTATTTTTGACCAAGGCAAATTTTTAACTAGAGCAGGCAACCAAATTGCGTTGAGATTTCAGCTCAGGTTTTGAGATCGTTTATGAAAGTGGTTACAATTATTTAGGCTTGTTAATTTAGATTGCCTTACGCTAGGATAAGATTATAATAAGAGTCTCTAGCTACAAATCACAAATACATGTTGCTTGACTGTTTTCTCCTCTGGGAGTTTTCAGGAGACTGAACTTTGATTTGTTAGGTTTACCTGTACAATTTTTTTCAAAAATCCAAATAATGATTTATGATAAAAAGCAGAAAATGCCCCATCCCTCACCCTCCCCCCCAGACTAAACTGATGATAAAAACTGAAATGGAAAAAAAAAAACAAACTGAAATGATTAGGATTAGTAAAAAACTGCTTAGCTACTTGCAGTTTATAGTTTTTGGAATAATTTAGCTTGTAGTCTTATACTTTATGGAATTCATTTATTTGCTTTTGTGTTTTAAATGTTGCAGCAGTTGTTAATGTTTTTACTTTAAAAATGAAGTGTAAAACAGTTCAATATCTGTAGCATATTGGCAAGCAATGTAACTTTAGAAAAAGCTGACTTACAGAAATTATTTACAGTGAAGAAAGAGTGGACCTGATTTCCAATACATTTTTATTCTGTTGTTAAAGATATAAAACAGAATAGAAAATTCTGTTTCTGTATGATACAGTAGTTATTCTACCATTCTTTATTTAAATATGATTGTTAGGACTTATATGTGTAATTAAGAAAGTGAGAGAGCTCAACTGGTTAGTAAATACCTCCAGTTTGAAGTATGATTGGTGAAATTTGGTGATCATGGGATGGTCATATGCTTCATAAATGTAAGAATTGGAAAATAATGTGTCATTTGCAAACATGATTTATTCATCATCTTGAAGCTAGAAGGCAAAGTTGGGTTAACAAGTTAATGCTAATGTTATCTGTGGTATATATGTCTAGGCACTACTGTTACCAGTTATAGGAATTTGTCTTGACAGTAATTTTTTATTAATTCTATTTCAGGGGAAGGAAAAAGGAATTTCCGTATTCCATTTATCGATATCAGTGCTTAAAGGGAAAATTGAGCTCTTTTTTATGTTTTGTTTATTAGCTAATTTGAGAGCTCTTTGTCACCTACAATATAATAAAAAAAATGTCTAGAAGGATTCTTTGAGATACTCCATAATTTTCTGAGATAACTTGATCCATATTCTATCATACATATAAACATATAAAGAATTAGTGTTTTAGCAAAGTGGCTTATCACCTTGTTTTCCCTGAGCTACCAGGGAAGCCCCTTTTAATGATTAGGTGTTTTTAAATAATCATCATTTATAAAAAGTTGGTAGGACTTAGCTTGTTCAGCTCATAAGGTTGAGTGTACTTGATTTTGCTGGTTATTAGAACAGGTTCTGGAAATTAGTCCTTCTGTGTCTTCTGGCTTTACTGTTACCACTATTTCATCATCCATGATTACAGCTTTTAAAATGCCAATTGCAATACAACAGGAGGTAAAATAAAAATAGATCCAGCCATTTTCTTTAAGACTCTTAATTCTTGACATTAATGATTGAAAATTTGGGAAAAATAATAAGAATTAATACAAGACTGTTACTGATAAAATGTTTTCCTTTTGTTAATTATCGGGAGACTTTGCCTTGCCTCGTCATAACATTGACTTTTGTAGTTTTTCCTATAAGCCTCACTACCCCAAATTTAAGAGTGTTTAATTGAAAGACTGATTTCTTGGTTTCAGTCTTGCAGATTTTGACTTAATAAGTCTGGTGTTTGTTGTTGTTTGTTTTAGTTGCCAAGTGCTGTCCAACTGTTTTGCGACCCCACGGACTGTAGCCTGCTAGGCTCCTCTGTCCAAGGGATTTCCCAGGCAAGAATACTGGAGTGGGTTGCCATTTCCTTCTCTAGGAGATCCTCCCTACCCGGGGATGGAACCTGCATCTCCAGTGTTGGCAGATGGATTCCTTGCCACTGAGCCACTTCAGTACTTACTCTTAAAAAAAATGGAGACCTTGTTACTTACCTGATGCTTTCATGGATTATTTTGGGTAATCCTTTCAACTGAAGTAGATGCATTAGTCTCATTTTTCAGTTGATGAGACTGAGGATTTTAGAGCTAGGATGTGCCCTGAGGACACAGGATTCAGTTCAGTGCCTCAGGCTCTGCTTACTCTGGGTAAGAGCTCTAGGTAGAAAAGGAGCCTGGCTATAGGGATTAGATCTGATAGAGTGCCTGAAGAACTATGGAGAGGTTCCTAACTTTGTACAGGAGGCAGTGATCAAAACCATCCCCAAGAAAAGAAATGCAAAAAGGCAAAATGGTTATCTAAGGAGGCCTTACAAATAGCTGAGAAAAGAAGAGAAGGGAAAGGCAAGGAGAAAAGGAGAGAGATACCCATCTGAATGCAGAGTTCCAAATAATAGTAGGGAGAGATAAGAAAGCCTTCCTAAGTGAACAGTGCAGAGAAACAGAGGAAAACAATAGAATGGGAGAGACTAGAGGTCTCTTCAAGAAAATTAGAGATACAAAGGGATCATTTCATGCAAAGATGGGCACAGTAAAGGGCCGAAATAGTATGGATCTAACAGAAGCAGAAGCTATTAAGAAGAGGTGGCAAAGAGACACGTGCATCCCAATGTTCATCGCAGCACTGTTTATAATAGCCAGGACATGGAAGCAACCTAGATGCCCATCAGCAGACGAATGGATAAGGAAGCTATGGTACATATACACAGTGGAATATTACTCAGCCATTAAAAAGAATTCATTTGAAGCAGTTCTGATGAGATGGATGAAACTGGAGCCCATTATACAGAGTGAAGTAAGCCAGAAAGATAAAGACCAATACAGTATACTAATGCATATATATGGAATTTAGAAAGATGGTAACGATAACCCTAAATGCAAAACAGAAAAAGAGACACAGATGTACAGAACAGACTTTTGGGCTCTGTGGGAGAAGGTGAGGGTGGGATGTTCTGAGAGAATAGCATTGAAACAAGTATACTATCAAGGGTGAAACAGATCACCAACCCAGGTTGGATGCATGAGACAAGTGCTCAGGGCTGGTGCACTGGGAAGACCCAGAGGGATTGGATGGGGAGGGAGGCGGGAGGGGGGATCGGGATGGGGAACACATGTAAATCCATGGCTGATTCATGTCAGTGTATGGCAAAAACCACCACAATATTGTAAAGTAATTAGCCTCCAACTAATAAAAATAAATGGAAAAATAAATAAATTAATTTAAAAAAATAAAGTAACTATACCCCAATAAAAATTTAAAAAAAAACCTCAAAAAAAAGGAGGTGGCAAGAAAAAAAAGGTGGCAAGAATACACAGAAGAAAAAAGAAAAGAATATAAAATATATAATAATATAAAAATATCTTAATGACCCAGATAACCACAATGGTGTGATCACTCACTTACAGCCAGACATTTTGGAGGGCGAAGTCAAGTGGGCCTTAGGAAGCATCACTACGAACAAAGCTAGTGTAGGTAATGGAATTACTCCTGAACTCTTTCAAATGCTAAAAGATGATGCTGTGAAAGTGCTGCACTCAATATGTCAGCAAATTTGGAAAACTCAGCAGTGGCCACAGGACTGAAAAAGGTCAGTTTTCATTCCAGTCCCAACAAAAGGCAAAGCCAAAGAATGTTCAAGCTACTGCCCAATTATACTCACTTCATATAGTAGCAAAGTAATGTCCAAAATTCTCCAAGCTAGACTTCAACAGTATGTGAATCGAAAACTCCCAGACGTTCAAGCTGGATTTAGAAAAGGCAGAGGAACCACAGTCAAATTGCCAGCATCCTGTTGGATCATAGAAAAAGCAAGAGAATTCCAGAAAAATCTTATTTCTGTTGCATTTTTTATGCTAAAACCTTTGACTGTGTGGATCACAACAAGCTGTGGAAAATTTTTCAGGAGATGGGAATACCAGACCACCTTACCTGCTTCCTGAGAAATCTATATGCAGGTCAAGAAACAACAGTTAGAACTGGATATGAAACAGTGGACTTGTTTCCATGTTCCAGATTGGGAAAGGAGTACGTCAAGGCTGTATATTGTCACCCTGCTTATTTAACTTCTATGCAGAGTACATCATGGGAAATGCTGGGCTGGATGAAGTACAGGGTGGAATGATTGCTGGGAGAAATAGCAAATACCTCAGATATGCAGATGACACCATGCTTATGGCAGAAAGGGAAGAGGAATTAAAGAGCCTCTTGATGAAGATGAAAGAGGAAAGTAGAAAAGGTGGGTTAAAGCTCAGTATTCAAAAAACAAAGATCATGGCATACGGTCCCAATGCTTCATGGCAAATAGATGGGGAAACAATGGAAACAGTGACAGACTTTATTTTGTTGGGCTCCAAAATCACTGCAGACTGTGACTGCAGCCATGAAGTTAAAAGATGCTTTCTCCTTGGAAGAAAAGTTATGACCAACCTAGACAGTGTATTAAAAAGCAGAGACATTACTTTGCCAACAAAGGTCCTTCTAGTCAAGGCTATGGTTTTTCCAGTAATCATGTATGGATGTGAGAGTTGAACTGTAAAGAAGGCTGAACGCCGAAGAATTGATGCTTTTGAACTGTGGTTTGGAGAAGACTCTTGAGAGTACCTTGGACTGCAAGGGACCCACCAGTCCATCCTAAAGGAGAGCAGTCCTGAATATTTATTGGAAGGGCTGATCCTGAAGCTGAAGCTCCAATACTTGGGCCACCTGATGTGAAGAACTGACTCATTGGAAAAGACCCTGATGCTGGGAAAGATTGAAGGCAGGAGGAGAAGGGGACAGACAGAGGATGAGATAGTTGGATAGTATCACTGACTCAATAGACTTGAGTTTGAGCAAATTCTGGGAGATGGTGAAGGACAGGGAAGCCTGGCATGCTGCAGTCCATGGGGTAGCAGAGTTGGACACGACTGAGTGACTGAACAAACAACACAGGGAGTTGACTCCTGGCCTTGCCATTTTCAGTCAAGGCAGGATGACCTTGTCTAAGTCACGTCACTTCTTGGTTTCTCATGTTCCACATCTATAATATAGTAATACCATTACATAAGGATTGTTGTAATAATTAAATGAGTTAATATATGGAAAGCGTTCAAAACAATGACCAGCATATATTAAATATTACAAAGTAAATATTATTGCTTATCCAGTATTCTGACAGTGCTGTGGTTTGTCCCGTTATATGTCAGTGAAATGAGTTTCTGAGCAGTTCTGTCATGCTCTGAGAGCCAAAACTGCCAGTGCATTTCCTGCTTATTAGGGGACAGCCTACATAATTAACCAGGTTGTGGTTAACCGGCAAAATATGGTGTGGGGATCGGAAATCTCCACTTTAAACAGTCATTTTGGAGTTTTGAGAAACAGAGTTAGCCAAATACACAAGTCTCTTTTTAAGGATTAGTTTTCTTACTTCAGGAATGAATACTGTTTATTGACTTTTGACAGTTTTTTAAAGGAACAAAAGGTACAAAATAGAATCATAAAATATAGCTTTTGGAAATGTGACCAACATATTAACAAATATGTGTTAAATCAGGCATTAGTGATCTTATTTAATTTAAGGGGAAAGGCAGAGGCTTGATAGAGTATTGTTATTTTATAGTAATACACATTCCCACCTCTTTTTTTTTGGTCGAATGTTTAGTATAAGCAATAAATGTTAACAATAATTATTTCTTTGGGGGCTCTTTATTGTTTTCCCCTTTGGAGACATTTATATTAAGTAATTTTGTTACAAGGTAACTGTTTTTCATCATCAGATTTTCTTCTCTCTGCATGGCATGCATCCTTCAACAGTTTTCTTAGGAAAGAGTATAAGATGAAGTTTATATGAATTTCTGGAATAGTGAAAATTTGGCCTAGCTATGTGTGATTCATGAAAGCTTGTCTGCTAACACTGGTCTATTTCCTGACTCTCTTTATGTTCCTTCCTAACTAAATATTTCTTTTGTTTTTTGTTTGTATATGTTTATGAAGGAGCATTAACTTTTTGAAAGACATTAAGTAGAATATATTTAACTTTTTCCCATTTCTGCTCTTTTAATAGGAATCAAGTACTGGAAATGTTTGATCATGCTTATGGTAACTATATGGTAAGTAGAAAACTTATCTTTATATACCATTTATGTGAGCTGATTACTATGTGAGCGCAGTCAACTGGGAATTTTACAACTTGAATTAATAAATTTAATTTCCTTTAAAAATGAATTTTAAGTTTTAAAAAATAGTGTGAACATAGGGTAACAGGGTGTTCCTGATAGTGGTTCTTAGAGAACCAGTATATTGAATAGGTAAGAATAAATTTTAATTAGATTATGAAACTGTATTTAAATAGTTTCTTTTGATGCTATGAATGGTGTGTATTAAATAGTTTGTATAGTTAAATATGGTAAATATAAACATGAGTAAGATGTTATCTTTGCCTTAAGGGAGGTGCTTCTCTTAACTAAACAAAAAAGTATTTACAAAATTACTTTATTCACTTTATGAAGAAAACCATTGCTTTAAGAGCATCAGACCGTCACCTACTTTCTGTCCAAATGATATCCTCACAGTGGGCCTTGATTTGAATATATTTTGCTTTCTAGATATGCTGGTCCATATTATTTTAAAATGCCTTAGCGCTCACTTGAGATGAAATAACAAGTTTAGTTTTGCAAAGCAAAACATGTTCTGGAAACCTATTGCACAATAGTGAATATAGTTAATGTTGCTAAACTTACACTTAAAAATGGTAAAGTTTATGTTCCATGATTTCTACCACAATTGAAAATTTAATTTTAATTAAATAGTACAGAGCTAGGAGATGGGGAAGGGCATTTGTAGCTGCCCTCCACCCAGTGACCTCTTGCCCCCTACCAGTAAAATGATCTTAAAATGCAAAAAAAAAATCATAATAGTTTTTAAAAGATAACTAGCCAGCAAATTTTAGAGGTTGAAAGATAATTTTACAAGTAAATTTGTGTAATTTTGATAAGGTTAATCAGATTATTCTGAGAATTACTTCTTATGAAGTAATTGTTATGTCAACATATCTTCTATGATTAAGGCCTGTAAATGTAGTTGGGGAAAGTTAGGCAAAGAACTAAGTTTAATTGATTCTGCTGTGTTTTTCAACTGATTCTGAATCCATTTTTCTGTTACCCAAATATCTTCATTTGTTTACATTATCTTTATGAACATGTAAGTACATAAGCTTTTATACATTAAAAAAATTTTTTAAGCTTGTCTTACATTTGATAATTCTTATTCCCTTCTATATTGTACAGCTTTTAAGAGTACATTCTGAGTTCTTAAATGTTTTTAGGATATAATGGTGATGAAGTTCTGTGTGTTTTTAACCATGTTGAAAACACAGTTTTGAATTCATTTCTTTCAAAATCATTTATCCCTGGTTAATTCAGTTTGGGCAAAGCATAATTTTCTCTAAGCTAATAGTTTTGGGGTGGCCAAGTGGATCTAGGTTACACCTTCAAACCAAATCCATGTCATAAATGCATACTTTTGGTTCCAAAGTTGAATAAGATGTTATACAGCTGGATTAATTCAATACATCTCACTGTGAATAGGGTCTTCTTTTGTGAAGCACAGTATCTTTAACATTTTGTTCCTTATTAGGTAAACAGCTGAAAGTTACATCAGTACATTTTTTCCGACTGTAGAAATGAGTTTCTGACAGAGCAGCTACCAATGGCAGCCCTCAGAAGACTTCCTGGTCCAGTTCTTATTTATGGGCCCTAACTGGGTAACTTTTATTACAGTCATCTGTCTGCAAGATCTAAAGGAGAGGGACTTCATTTCCAAAGACCAGAAACTCTTGGAATTAACACCCCCCGCCGTGGCGTCACACCCATCTACAGTCCACTGCAATATTATTTTAAAATGTTCAACTCTTTTACGACATGAGTGACTCTTGCAGTGTACTTGTGCTGGGCTCAAACTGTGTGAGGTTTGTAACCCAAGATTTAGTCTAGAATTCACACTTCCCCTTTTCAGGTTCTCAGCTAATGTGAAACAGCTCTAAAATGTTAAACAGAGACCAGGTACCCTGTACTTGTTATATGAAGTCAGTTGCAATTTTTTCTAGTTCCTATACTCAGAAACACTATTAGCTTGTTATAGAGTAAAAGTATATATAGATTTTGGAGTTAGATGGGTTTGAGTTCAAATCCTATGTCAGTTATTTAGCTTGGACCTTAAACAGATCATTTAACCCCCTTGAGCAGTGTCTTCCTGTGAAAAATGGGGATGAGTACAAAGGATTATTGTAGAGTATAAGATTTTTGAGATCACAGGGCCATTTTCTTTACTTTTTAATAAATTCATCTTCTATATGTCCTATATTTAACTAGCATCATGAAAAAATGAAGTGAAAATGTTAGTCGCTTAGTTGTGTCTGACTCTCTGCAACACTATGGACTGTAGCGCGCCAGCCTCCTCTGTCTGTGGAATTCTCCAGGCAGAAATACTTGAGTGGGTAGCCATTCTCTTCTCTAAGGATTTTCCCAACCCAGGGATCAAACTCAGGTCTGTTGCATTGCAGGCAGAGCTACCAGGGAAGCCCAGCTAGCATCATACCTGGTACATAAATGGTGTTTTTGTTCTTGAAAGCACTGACTTGAATTCTTATGAAGGTATAATCAAATGATTTTTTTTTTGCATTTGATTATTGTGATATATCTTTACCTTTTAAAATCAGAAATTGTGTAATAGCTTTGCGCAATGGCAGTATCGTAGCCAATGAGGTTTATCCGAGGTGCGATTATTGCTAATTGAAAAAAAAAAAAAGAAATTGTGTAATAAATTTTATCAAAACTATATGTTAATGGTAAATTTGGGGTTGTACAAATCTGTTTGCTGTAGTCAGTTGCCTTCTGTGCTAAGTGAAGTTGCTCAGTTGTGTCTGACTCTTTGTGACCCCATGGACTGTAGCCTACCAGGCTCCTCTGTCCATGGAATTTTCCAAGCAAGAGTACTGGAGTGGGTTGCCATTTCCTTCTCCAGGGGATCTTCCCAACTCAGAGATTGAACCCAGATCTCCCTCATTGCAGGCAGACGCTTTACCATCTGAGCCACCAGGGAAGCCCTTTCTGTGCTAAAATGGCTTTTAATAAATGTTGAAAACTTTTCATTTCTTACTAGATTTTAAAAATATTACTCTCCAGTCTAGTACACAATTACAGCAATTCTTTTAACTTTCTTGGTTCTGGGAAAACAATGTTATTTTCCAAAGACAAGCAGAATAATATTGAAAGCAAAAACTCTGGAAATGGAGGAGGACACCCTGCGGTAGCTCTGCCACCTACCAGCTGGGTTACAAGGGAAAGTTACCTCATCTCCCCGAACCTATTTCTTCATCTCTCTAAGATGGTTTGCCTGCCTCACGATGTTTTAAAGATTAAGCAAGTTAACATTATTAAAGTACTTGGAATTTGTGTCCAGCAGATAGGAAGCACTGTGTGTTTACTGCTGCCAGCTACTGCTGCTGTCATCATGGCTACTAGCGAGTCATTGTCTACCTGGGACTGAAATGGCCCTCCTAAAATTTATCTAGGCTTTAACTCAGAACTCCTTCCCTAGATGGTACACAGAACTTTCTTCAGACACACTCATTCTGTCCTGTTTGAGGCATGCCGTCTTTGAATTTTGTTTTTCTTTATGATTCCCCAGGTTCTAGTAATGCTATTTTTCAATAACAATGCCCTGCCAGCCTTAGGTAGATTACTAAATCTTTGCCATCTCTTGGTGTTATCCAAGAATTTTCTGACTTTATCAATTGGTAGCTCAGCTGGTGAAGAATCTTCTGCACCGCAGAAGACCCTGGCTCAGTTTCCTGACTCGGGACGATCCCTGGAGAAGGGATAGGCTACCCACTCCAGTATTCTTGGACTTCCCTGGTGACTCAGATGGTAAAGAATCCACAGTGCAGGACACCTGGCTTTGACCCCTGGGTTGAGAAGATCCTGTGAAGGAGGGCATGGCAGCCCATTCCAGGATTCTTGCCTTGAGAATCCTATGGACAGAGAGGAGCCTGGCAGGCTACAGTCCGTAAGGTCAAAAAGAGACACGACTTGAGAGGCTTAGAACATGTGCATTCTGTCAACTAAGAATATTATTTGGGGCTGTCTGGAAAAGGAAGTGGCAACCCACTCCAGTATTCTTGCCTGGAGAATTCCGTGGACAGAGAAGCCTGGTGGGCTGCAGTCCATGTGGTCACAAAGTAGGACACAACTGAGCGACTAAGCACACAATAGCGTAAATACTAACAACTATAACTAAAGAGCCTCTTGATGAAGGTGAAAGAGGAGAGTGAAAAAGTGGCTTAAAGCTCAACATTCAGAAAACTGAGATCATGGCATCCGGTCCCATCACTTCATGGGAAATACATGGGGAAACAGTGTCAGACTTTACTTTTGGGGGCTCCAAAATCACTCCTGATGGTGATTGCAGCCGTGAAATTAAAAGATGCTTACTCCTTGAAAGGAAAGTTATGACCAACATAGACAGCATATTAAAAAACAGAGACATTACTTTACCAACAATGGTCCGTCTAGTCAAGGCTATGGTTTTTCCAATGGTCATGTATGGATGTGAGAGTTGGACTATAAAGAAAGCTGAGCACCGAAGAATTGATGCTTTTGAACTGTGGTGTTGGAGAAGACTCTTGAGAGTCCCTTGGACTGCAAGGAGATCCAACTAGTCCATCCTAAAGGAGATCAGTCTTGGGTGTTCATTGGAAGGACTGATGCTGAAGCTGAAACTCCAATACTTTGGCCACCTCATGCGGAGAGTTGACTCGTTGGAAAAGACCCTGATGCTGGGAGGGTTTGGGGGCAGGAGGAGAAGGGGATCACAGAGGATGAGATGGCTGGATGGCATCACCGACTCAATGGACATGAGTTTGAGTAAACTCTGGGAGTTGGTGATGGACAGGGAGGGCTGGCGTGCTGCGATTCATGGGGTCGCAAAGAGCCGGACACAACTGAGCAACTGAACTGAACCGGTAATGAATGTACTTGACATCTCTAGTCTCAATCAGACTGGTTTATCCACAGTGAATTGCACAGATGACTTTCTTTTTTCCCCAAATAAA